CTGGGGCCCTGGACGGGTCTCTTCCCGGATGACGAGCTGGTTGGGCAGACCAGTGCCCGCCTGGAGTCACCCGGGAGTGGGGGGGACTCACCCACAAAGGGGCCCTCACCTTGGGGTGTCCCACCCGGCATCATTCCCCGGAGCTTTTTCATCTCTCGTGGGTTCTTCATAGCTTGAGACGACCGAGGCTTTGCTGCCTCATTTCTAGGGGACCCAGCGAGGCCAGAAGGCCCTGTGAGCGGCGCCGCGCTGACCCCGTGACCGAGAAAAGCCAGGCGGACCCCTGGGCTCTTGGGTGCCTTCGTGGGCGGGTGCTTATTTTTCGGGGGGCATTTTGCTTCCTGCAGCCCTGGTCCCTTGCACCGTGCTGTTAGCTGGGGTTCCTTCCATGGGGAAGAGAGTCGGGAGCCGAATTCGCTCTTAGAAGCCGGGGTGCCTCCAGCCAGGCCCTCCTGGGAGGAGGCCGCGTCCCTCCTCCCCCGCCCCGCGCCTGCAGCCCCGGCCCTGACTGATGCCGCATTTCTCTGGCAACCGCTTCCCTTGGTCTCCCTGGCTACCGCCCTGCCTCCCCGCGCTCTCTCCTGGCACCTGAGTCAACTACTGGGCTGTGTCGCTGGTGGGGAAGAGGGGCAAGTGGGTGGGGTTCCTATTCTGGAAGGCACAGGTGGACTGCCTGCCTCTTGCCTGCCCCTCAGGTGACGGTGCGGTCCCTTGCCAGCCGTAAGTGTCTGGTAAGGACAGTTTGCACCCTGAAGCTCATGTTCCTTTTGAGTCTAGGGACACATGCTGGGTTAAAAAATAAAAATATATTCGAACAGGACCCAACCTTGGAAACCTCAAGTCGGTGATTGTTTTCCTGGTTGTTTTTTTGCATAGTTAGAAAAGCCTGTGGAACTCAGTGGGGCTATTGGCTGTCAGAAAACCCTGAGGACGGTGTTTTGGGGACTTATCACTGGTCTTTTATTTGGCCTCATTGAGCACATGGAGCTTGTGGCCGAACTGTATTCCCAGAGCACGTTGTTGTAGAGTTTGGTTATTTATTTATTTATTTGTTTATTTTTGAGACGGAGTCTTGCCCTGTCACCCAGGCTAGAATGCAGTGGTGTGATCTCGGCTCACTGCAACCTCCGCCTCCCGGTTCAAGCGATTCTCCTGCCTCAGTCTCCTGTGTGGCTGGGATTACGCGCCACCATGCCCGGCTAATTTTTGTATTTTTAGTAGAGACAGGGTTTCACCATGTTGGTCAGGCTGGTCTCGAACTGCTGACCTCGTGATCTGCCCGCCTCGGCCTCTGAAAGTGCTGGGATTACAGGTGTGAGCCACATCGCCTGGCCCAGTGTCGCTTTTTAAATTTTTTGTCAGGGCGATTTAAACTTTGGGTGGCCTGGCAGTGCCTGCTCGGTTTATAGAAGTAGAATTTGGAAGTTGACTACTCCGTATGTAAGTCAACCTTTGTAATAAAAAAGTATGGCTGGGCGCCATGACTCAGGCCTGTAATCCCAGCAGTTTGGGAGGCTGAGGCGTGCAGATCACCTGAGGTCAGGAGTTCAAGACCAGCCTGGCCAACAAAGTGAAATCCCGTCTCTCCTAAAAATACAAAAATTAGCCGGGCGTGGTGGTGGGCACCTGTAATCCAAGCTACTCGGGAGGCTGAGGCAGGAGAATCGCTTAAACCCAGGAAGTGGAAGTTGCAGTGAACCGAGATCGTCCACTGCACTCCAGCCTGGGCAACGATCGAGACTCTGTCTCAAAAAAAACAAAACTTGGCTTCCCTCCTCTGAAGGGTTTGTCTTGTAAACAACTCCGTGGTCTAAGCTCCCATGTGTGGGAGGGAGGTTGTACCAGCCTGTGCAGCACATCGGAGGTTGGAGAGCTGATGCTTGTGAATAATCATGGAAACGTTTGCAGTTTGGGTTAAGCTATAGGCGTTTGATACAGGAATGGTTCTCTGGGCTTATTCTTTCACTGTAGTGCACAAACCAGTGCCCATGAAGCAAAAAGTGGAGGAGGAAGATAAAGTAGTAAGACTCCAGGCTCAGTACCAAACTTAACTAGTGAGCTAATGATAACAGCTGCCTTAATAAGCATTTTCACTGACCACAACCATTAATTTTATTCTTAGTCTTTAAAATGGGTTGCAAACTCAAACCCTACCGGGGCCAGAGGTAACATAAATGAGCAAAGGAGGAGGAAGGAAAAGTAATGGCTTCTGAACTGCAGAGTATATGCCTCCCTGAATGGAGCAGCCGCTAGCTGATTGTTGCCCAGCAAAACTGTGGGCCCAGAGTTGGTGGATCTTTGACTTGCTTCTAAACTGGCTATCTCTATTTTGATGAATCTCCTGACTTTTAAATGTAGCATTAAAAAAATTTTAAATGCTATGGACCAAATGTAACAGGTCTTTAATGTTGGATTCAACCTGAAGGCTAGTTTGGAGTCTGTCTTAAAACATCCCTTTTGGATTTCCCCGCTATTTTGCAGAAAAGGAAACAGGGTTAGAAATCAAGTCACAAGGCTGTTAAGTGATGGAATTTAGTGTGAACCTAGGTCTTTCTGGTGCCATAGTCTAGCGTATTATGTGTGTTCTGTTATGTCAGAGGATCAAGGGGTTATCGGTGGCATACATTGTAGAAAATGGTTTGGGAGCTGGTCACATTTATAGGCAAAGTGAACCTTAACTGCATTGACAGGAATCCCAGTTGCTGTAGAAGTCAGTGTGGGTCTTCTGAGTGTTAGTACAGCAGTGCTGATGTCAGAAGGAATGTGCTGTGTCTATCATTCCACAATGTATGTCAGAGCAGTTAGCTGATCCTGAGAGCCAGAGGTCTGGAGATGGCAGGCTCCTCCCACTGTGGGAGTGACCCTCCCAACCCTCTGCACAAAAGTCTCCTTTTTTCAGGACAGTTAAAATTTCAGTAACTTTTTCTGTCTGAGGCAAGGCAAATTTGAAATTACATAATTGTTTTAAGACCCGTGAAAGTAAAATAGAGCTTACTAAATCTCACTTTGTCTGTCTTAGCTAAGATTCCCATAATGCTGTCTCTCAAATTTCCAGGAAGAATTAATAAAGGTTAAAAAATTTTTTAAAAGCAGTATGTGGTAAAATCTTCTGAGATAAGCTCCCAGGGCATAAAATAGCCCTGCCCCAGAAATGAGGGACTGGGGTTTCAATTCTGGATAAAACTTAGAATCCCAGCATTGTACACAACCAAACTTATAGATGTAAAGGGGTATGTATATTTTTTTCCTATATTGCATTTCCAAGAAATTTTTTTGTTTTTTTTTTTGAGATGGAGACTCACTCTGTCGCTCAGGCTGGAGTGCAGTGGTGCGATCTCGGCTCACTGCAACCTCCGCCTCTGGGGTTCAAGCAATTTTTCTGCCTCAGCCTCCCAAGTAACTGGGACTACAGGCACGCACCACCATGCCCGGCTAATTTTTGTATTTTTGGTAGAGGTGGGGTTTCAACATATTGGCCAGGCTGGTCTCGAACTCCTGACCTTGTGATCTGCCTGCCTCGGCCTCCCAAAATGCTGGGATTACAGGTGTGAGCCACTGTGCCTGGCTGCATTCTCAAGGATTTAAAGGAGTAAAAAGCATATTCAGAGCTTCTGCCAAAGAATTTTTTTCTGTGAGAATGCAAGCTAGATAGCTTTTTTTCTGTCAGACACAAGCTAGATAGCTTTCTTACCTGTGTCCTGGAAAGTTTTTGGAAAGATGAAAACTTTAAAATGTTACTTGCTTCTAGCTGCTTCTTAGCAACCTTTACCAGCAAAGCACTCAGCTATGAGTTCAGTGTTTGTGGATTTGGGGGTGTGGAGTGTACTGGGGAGGGGAAGAGTGAGGTGACTAAAGCAGCTTTCTGCTGGTATTATTTTTGCATTTATAATGTTAGGTGTTGTCTGTGCAAACTTTCTTATTCATTGGTTTCAGGTCCCTTAGCTAAATGATTATTTTCTAAAGTTATGTTTATTTTAAAGGAAAATTAGATTATTTGTACTTCTGTCTTACAGTTTGAGACAAATGGACACCAAACCTAAATATTAATGTTTAGACTGTTGTCTTTAGTAGCTAGTGGTGGAGGCAGTAAAAGAATCATGGAATCAAATAACAAATTATTTTTTTCTGCTATGGAGAAGTTGTGCTAATCTCATCCTGTTCTGCAAATCTGCTTTTCCTAGGCAGTATATAAACTGTACTGGCTCTGGGGAGAATTTGCCAGAAAGCCCCTGAGGCTAAAGGGTTGGAAGGAGTTTGTACCTAGAGGTTATGGTAGAGGAGGTTATGTAAAGAATTTCGCTTCTCGTTTGAATTAAGACCAAGAAGCACTGATTGCACCCTTTACCGTTTCTTAAGCCTTTTAAGATTTTATTATTAAGATTGTTTTTGAAGGCCGGGCGCGGTGGCTCAAGCCTGTAATCCCAGCACTTTGGGAGGTCGAGACGGGTGGATCACAAGGTCAGGAGATCGAGACCATCCTGGCTAATACGGTGAAACCCCGTCTCTACTGAAAAAATACAAAAAACTAGCCGGATGAAGTGGCAGGCGCCTGTAGTCCCAGCTACTCGGGAGGCTGAGGCAGGAGAAGGGTGTAAACCCGGGAGGCGGAGCTTGCAGTGAGCTGGGATCAGGCCACTGCACTCCAGCCTGGGTGACAGAGCGAGACTCCGTCTCAAAAAAAAAAAAAAAAAAAAAGATTGTTTTTGAGACAAGGTCTTACTCTGTCACCCAGGCCGGTGGGCAGTGGTGCAATCACAGTTTACTGCAGCCTCAAAGCTCCCTGGCTCAAGGGATCCTTCAGCCTCAGCCTCCCAAGTAGCTGGGTCTACAGTCATTCAACATGCTTGGCTAAGTTTAAAAATTTTTTTCTTCGAGATGGGGTTTCACTGTGTTGTCCAGGCTCATCCTGGGCTCAAGCCATCCTCCTGCCTCAGCCTCCCAGAGTGTTGGGATTACAGGTATGAGCCACCATGCAGGCTCTTAAAGTCTTTTGGTCACTATGAACTTTGCTTCCTTTGCACCCAACATTGCAGTTTTGGAAATGCCCTTAGCTTTTTCCTGCATTGTTGCAGCCTGTTTTTTAGTTAAACCTGCTTATGAGAGTATCTCATCTTCTGTGAGCACAGGTTCTGTAGACCGAAGGTTTTTATGTTGAAGATAGGACCCACCCCAACAGTGCATTTCTCAGTTACAGTAAACTAGCTGAAAAAGAATGAAGTAAAATGTGCATGATGTATGTAATATTTCCTATTTTTATAGGAAAATTGTCTGACTTGCTGTTAAAAGTTAGTATCCAAATTTCAGAGTGCTAAATTCACATTGTAGATGTAATTTCCAATGAATTTTGTTAGGTGTCATTTTAAAGCCCAATGTTAGGGATTCTTTTGCCACCCTAATATATGATGTGGTTTTGATTAACTTGGACCTGGGAGGATTCCTGACTGAATGGTGTTGAGCTTTACTTTCAGTAGTTCAGGAGAACACTTAGGCGTGGATAACCTTTGAATTTTATTTTATTTTATTTTTTTGTATTCCTGAATGGTGGAACAGTCCTTTTAAATTGTGAGTTAACACTCTTTGTTTTGATTTAAGGCATTCCTGATGAGTTCCCTTGAGGTAACAGGAGAATCCCCAGAGGGCAGGTCTAAAGGTTGGTTTGTATGCTAAAAATGGGTCATAGTTGCAAGTAGCTATTGATTCTGGGAGTAACTTCACTAATAGTGTTACTGGTTTCTTTATTCTTGGCCAGCATAATATGCTGCTTTATGTACCATCCTGACAGATTTAGCCCCACTGCGTACAATCCCCTTTGATAAAAGTGTGGGGGTAGCTCTCCTCTGTTGGAAGAGAACAGTTACTTTGAAGGGCAGGTTGGTTTTTTTGTGTCTTTTTACAGAACACTTAATCTCTTACTACTTAACACCTGTGCTCTCTGCATTCTGGCTTTGTGCTCCTGGGTTCTGGCCCTTCCATCATCTGTCTGTCTCCCGTGTGTCTGCCCTTTCTCCTGAGGCTTTTTTTTTTTTTTTTTAAGCTGTAATCTTGGAATTGTTTTGAAGCTCAAAACGTGTTAGAGACCTGTCTCCTACATATAACTTAAAGTTGACACCAAAGCCAGATTATAATCTCTGACATCCTCTTTTCATGGACTAGGAGAATTAAGTTTAGAATGAAAAGTGATTACCCTAAATTTATACTGTGAGCAGGGAATAAAGACAGAACTAGAACCCGGGTTTTCTCATTTCTACAGTAGTACTTTTTCTAAAATTCATACACTCTCACCTCTGCTGTGTTGCTCTCTTATTGTACTTAAAATGTCCATTTGGTTTGTAAGACTCTAGCTTCCTTTTTCTTTTTTTCTTATCTGATCAATCTTGTCTTGTCTTGGTACTTGCAGGTTTCCTTTTCTCCCCAAATGCCACATTCTTCACAGTTCAACCCTGTTGGATCATTCCTGTCTCCTTATATATACAGGAGGCCCATGTGTTCTGTAGAAGCAAGCACCAGTTAGTTGTCTGTTGTGTGCCCAAGTTTTAGATTGAGTTCTTTAGCTTTGGTTGTTCTAAAGACTTATACTTGTGATTGGACTACGGAATGCATGTGTCTGAGGTATGTTAAACCCAACAGATATAAAAACAGAACCAATTTCTTCCTTTTCCTCATCGGAAATAACATCAGAACTAGGCAGGTAAAAGATTTGAAGGTTATTGCCAAAACAGGCGTAGTGTGTAGGGGGTGGGAAGGACATTCTAAGCGAAAGGAATAACGTGTAAGGACAAGGAGATACGAAACAGGGCTGTTTTTAGGCAACTAGAAGTACAATATTGATAGAATTTTAAGCACAAGGGATACTAGCCTATGACCTTGTGATCCACTTGTGTTCCTATATGCAAGAGAAGTGAGTACATATGAGTATAAAAAGGCATGCACAAGAATATTCACAGCAGTTTTATTCATAATATTTAAAATCTGAAGAAAAGGCAAGCTGGTTATGGCGCCTGTAGCACCAGCTACTGGGGAGGCTGAGGCAGGAGAGTCCCTTGAGCCTAGGAGTTCAAGACGGGTCTGGACCACATATCCAGACCCTGTCCCTAAAAGTAGGACAAAACAATAAACGCCTGTTATGTTGGGTCCCCCCCAGACAGTGCCCAAATTAGATGATTGACTAGGAAGATTCACAGGACTTAGCGTATAGTGGTACTCATAGCTAAGCTTACAGCTAAAGGACACAGAGAAAAACCATCAAAGGGAAAAGGCACATTGGGTGAAGTCTGGTACAAGCTTCCAATATTCCTTTCCCGGGACAGTTAAACAGGACATAGTTTAATTCCCTACAACTGACAACATATGTAAAATGTCGCCAGCCAGAATAGCTTGTTAGAATCTGGGCACCCAGAGAGAGAGAGACAGAGAGAGAGAGTGTGCGTGTATGTGTCTGAGGAATGGTTAAATAGGTAGCCTCTGCCTGAAATGTACCAAAATTTCAGACTCCGGGAGGAAAGCCCATGTTCAGCATAAACCATATTGTTTGTTCATTTTGGGTGTAGTAAGTCACTCAGTTCTGGGAATGGTGGGAACTCAAAATTTAAGTTCCCAGATGGTAGCTAAAAGACACCAGTCAGACCTGTTACTTTAAATCTTTTCTGTACAACCTTGAGCAGGAATATGGATAAATACATATATCCACATCTATTAATATGTAGTACTGCACAGTAATAAAAACCACTGTTCTATACTTCAATGTGTAGACATGTCAGATACTAAGTTAAGTGGGGGAAAAAAGACCCAAAAGAATACCTACATGATTGCATTTATAAGAGGTTCAAAAATAGGCAAAACTAATTGGTAACAACAGAAGCCTGAATCGTTAACTCTTTGGGGATAGTGTGGGAAAGGGCACAGGGGAACCTTATAGAGTGTTGGAAATGTTCTTTATCTTGCTATGTGTGGTGGTTGCTCCGGTATATACAGATAAGTGAATCTTGATCAAGATACATATTCATAACTAGTGCCCTTTTATTGAGAGAGAACACACAACAGAATAAAGTAGGAATAGACTAGGAGGGTTCTAACTTGGCCACTAAGCTGAAGCCAGACCATGAAGGGTTTTATATGCTATTGATAAGGAACTTGGCCTTTACTCTGTGGCAGCAGTTCTCCAAGCTAGGTCTGTGCCTGCCTAGTGGTCACCAAAACTTTCCTTTAAGAGGCCACAAAGTCAGAAGTATTTGTATAATTCTAAGACATGGTTGATTTATCCTCCCCCACCCCACTGTGTTGACATTTGTACCGATAGTGCAAAAGCAATGGGGGTGAGTAAAACAGCTGGCACGTAGCAGGAATCAGGGCAATGTCATTAAACTGTGGTAGCAGCCATTGTATTTTTCATGCTACACATTCCCAGAAAAGCCGGTGTCACTTGCAAATGTCCTTGAGGAAGCAGTAAAATTAATTTCATTAAATCTCAGCCCTTGAATATATGCCTTTAATATTCTGTGTGACAAATGAGAAGTCAGTATAAAGTACTTTTACTTCATATCCAAGTATGGTGATTATCTGGAGGAAAAGTGTTTATGTGACTGAGTTTCAAGAATAAGCCTCTTTTTTTCCTTGAAACACCTTTTTATCTTTACCAGAAGAACAACTAACAAACTATGGTTATTGAACTTTGGGTATTTGGCAGACATTTTCTTGAAAATGAACAAAGTAATCCAGTCACTTCATAAGAAATAACTCACTATATTTGTTGCCACTGATGCAATTTGAGCACTGAAAGAAAAAAAAAAAGAATTTTGGAAGACCTTTATCTGCCACCACATGAGCTTGACACTTGCCCCAATACTTAAAGACCCCTGATGAGATTGGTGGTACTATTTACTATTAACTAGTATGTCAACATCTGTTATATTTGCATAATTCAGGCAGTATTTGTCAAATGCCTAACATATGATAGAAAATCAGATAGGCGTAAAAGATCCATCCAAAATGCAAGATTGACCCATGTGTTTTAATGTAACAGCATATGAAGAGTACATATGGTTTCAGATTCCATATTGCAACTAATCTTTAAGAAGTTACCATTTGTTGAGAATTTTGGTGTAGTATTAATAGCCACAGTTGTCTGAAAATGGTATTAAAATACTCCTTTTTCCAACTACGTATCTGTGTGAGGCTGGATTTTCTTCATATACTTCAACCAGAATAACACATGACAACAAATTAAATACAGAAACAGACCAGAAAATCCCACTATCTTATATTAAACCAGATAGTAAAGAGATTTGCAAAAATGTCAATGCCACTCCATAAATTATTTTTTGTCTTGGAAAATCATTGTGTTAATATGTAATAGGTTTTTTTAATGATTAATAAATCTACCCCTTTTGTATTTCTAGTGGGTGCATATTGATATGACCTACTTACACAAAAAGCTTTTGAGTAATTAAAATTGAAAGTACTTAAAATTACCTCAGTAATTTTTAAAAGTATAAAGGAGTCCTGAGACCAACATGGTTGTGGACCACTGCCCTCTGGAGTAGGTGATTAGATTTGTACTTTCCAAAGATCCTGTAAGAATATCCAGGTAGGAATGAAGACCTCTTAAAAGGCTCAGGAAATGTCCATAGGATTTGATAAGGCACAGTGAACTTGGTTTGAAAAAAAAGTGTTTCAGAATAGCATGTGTGGAAAGGGAGAGAAGCATCTGATGCTTGCCTTCAAGGATTAAAGAGATGAGTAAAGGCGGTAGAGATGGGGTACTCTATACAGAAGGCTGATGGGGATGCTAGGGAAAGACAGGCTGGCTACTAAAGAGCAGGGTTAAGAAAAGTTGTAAACATGGGAGAGAGCTGATCATGTTTACAAAGGTGTGAGAGTTGTGGCAGGGATAGCTGACCAAGAAGCCCTGAGGGTATGAGAAAAAATTTACTCCAAATTTGCTCTTTAAATAGGAAGAAGGATACCCTGTCAGTAAGTGCAGAAAAAGGATAGTAGTGGAAGCTGTGTCAGATGGTGAGGGCAAGAGTAGGGTCACGTACACCAACTGTCCAGAGCCTTTAGTTTCTTTTATTCCTCAGGAGAATTTATGAGACTCTGTCATTCTCACATTACAAAGAAAAAGACCTGCTTAGAGAAATTGAGAATATTGGTCAAAGTTCCCCCAATTAATGGAGCACTGGGGCTTAAATCAGAATCCCAGACTCCAAGTTCCCTCTTTCTTCTGCATCAAGGCAGCCTGAGAAGCTTTATACGGAGAGGTAATGGAGACCAGGTCCGAGAACAACTCTGAGACAACTCTGGAGCCTTTGTGTTTTTATTGATGGGGAATGGTCTGTGGTCCAAACCTAAAACACCAAATCCCAAAATGACTTCAGTGGCTGAGAATTTTGACAGGGAGAAGAGGTAGAACTGATGAATATTTCTATTGATATATCTAAAAGCTTAAGAAAGGAGTCACTACCATTTATGAAGGTTATGAGTGAGGTGGTAAAAATACCTATGACAGGAGTGTGATACGGGTCTGCCTTTCATGTGTTATCTGTATTGAGTGCCTGCAAATGCAGCAGATACTATGCTGGGGCACTGCTGAGATACAGGTTGTGAAGGACCTTTATAGTTGATCAAATTGGTGAGCTAACAGTCCATACAGTT